TATAGATTGATTGCTGATTTTTAATAGGTGCTAAATTAATCATTCCCAGATTTCCTAGACATGGCTGGTTTATTGTTTTACCAACTGGGATTATTACACAAACTGTTTCTTTTTGTTTTACCCACATGATAGATGATTATTAATGGTTCATCTTATGATATGTTGTGGTTTGCCACATGAATCATACATTATGATTAATCATCCATTGTGGTTAATCCACTATGGATGATAGTTTTGCTTCGCCACATTGATAATCATATACTTTTTCATCTAATGAACTAAGATTCACGAACATAGTGATGTTATGGTTAGCCATTTTCGATGATGTTATGGTTAACCATCACTAAAAATCCTATGGTTAACTTCGGCTTCCATGATGAACCATAGTGGCCCACTTATGGATCATCATTAATAACATAGTGGTTACCCTTTGGTAAACTAACATAGCTATGGAAAATCACTATTTTTAATGGGTAAATCCACTATAAATTGCCATTTTCAATAGCTATGTTAGTTTACCAGAGAGTAATTCCATTATGGTTAGCCACATTAACCATCACCGTGGCCGAAGATTTCTCGGCTTCGGCTTCTCTCCTGCGCCACCAGCTCCGCTGCCAAGTCTTCAGCCCGCCGCGCGGTGGCCTCCAGCAGCTCCACGTTCACGTGGCTCACCGCCGCGAAGGCCCAAACCTCGGCGGCGCTTAAAAAGTGTGGATTTCATGGTGGATTTCATGCTTTTTCTATGGATGAAATAATGGATTTACGGTGAGTTTCTGGATGTAAAAATGATGATTTCCGATGCGTTTTGTTGTGTAAAATGTTGTTTCAATGGCTGTTTCATGTAGTTTTTTGTTTAATTGTTGGATTGTTTGTGGTGTGGTGGTGGTGTTTTCATGTGTTGTTTTTCCTTGGTGGAAACCCGTGGTGTGTTTTTTGTTTTGGTCACGTTTTTGGGATTCTGCGGACATATCATCCATAAATCTATGGAATATATACACATGCACAATATCTATTAGTAGTCCAAAATGATAAACAGGAGATATCCAATGACTTTTTCATTCTTACAGTAAAAAAATCTATATATTGATTCAGGGTGATACTGGATAGATATTCACAATGGAATCATAATGGAAAATATCAAGAAAACTCCAAACTTGGATCTAGCATGGATGAGATAATACTGTCAGTCTTCACCAGCATCCCTAAATCCTAAGGCATTTTAGTGGAGCAGGATGGATTGAAACTGGAGTACCAAAAATGGGTGCGGACTGACAAATTGATCCACAGCCCATAGCCAATTACATGCTCAAATGTCAACTACGGAAACTTGGATGCGCCACCATCAGAGCTCTATGCATCCCAACGAGAGCAAAACCGAAAGAACGGCATCTGATTGACGGTTTAAGCCATCCCCGAAAGTATGGGTAACTATGAGTCAAGTAATTCGGATCATCGCGGCGAGTGAACAAAAAAGTGCAATTATCAAATCAAATATATTCTAAAGGTATCTTGCTCATATTCCATCATATTCCTACTTTCAGGTCAATGATACCTCCATAAAATCCGAAAAAAATAACTGCATTCACCCCACCAAAACCATCCAAAACCTCTAGGTCCATGCGCTCCTCATCGCTCCTCCCTTGGCCGGTCACCGGGGTCACCGGGTGCCGAGTCGCCGCGTTGGAACAGTTCTGCGGGTTGAAGTCTGGCGCCAAGTGGGTGGCACAGCGGGCCAAGTCCTCGAAGAAGCTGCGACGGACCACCAGCACCTGCCACAATGGGATCTGGGATGGATCGTCGACCCCTTGGGATCTATGAAATTATCTATGTCACAAATATATACATAGATATATATATATAAATACTGGTCATAGAAAAGTTAGATAACCAAGTTAATATATGGACATATATATATATATATTAATACTATAAATGTATGACATAGTATTAAAATGTAATAAAACATGTTCCATTCATATGGGAAATATGAGAATATCCCGTTCAAATCCCATTGATTAAATAACACGATATACCCTCCATCAATTGGATAAACAAGTTAATGGAATCAATATATGCAAGCATTTCCCATTTAATGGGATGCACCCTCAATGGGATTTTATAATCATTATATGTGTGTTTCCTGAAGCCTCCCAATGCCAACAAGTGAACCGTCCTGGAACCCTGAACAGCAACTGAGATCTCGACTCCAACCGGAAAAATAATGTTTCAACCCAAAAAACAAAACCAAGTTTCCCCAAAACTCCAAGCAGCCACCTCGCTGCCAGCTGACGCACCTTTGTGCCACTTGACATCTAAAGGGCTTCGGTCCGGCCCAGATGCAGGTTCTTCAAGATTCCTAGACTACACCCGTAGGGTAGTAGTCTGGACTACACCCGTTGGGTAGAAGTCACAGCAAAAGTGGAAGTATTTCCATTTGAGAATTGGATAAATAGGGATGCATGAAATTCTCACACGCACTCCCCCTATGTGATCAGTTCCACTGACCACATATTCAGCTCAAGCCCTCTAAACAAGTCTATCATCTGCAGTGCAGCAAATCGCACATGGGTTGAAGGCCCGAAGTGGACCATTGGATCCCGCATCACGACAATGCTCATAATCAACATGAAGTGCATATCCATGTGAGATCGCATACAGCCTATGTTGGGGAACGTCTGACTGTGGGCCACATCTGTGACATCGTGGCGTCAGACAAACTTCCTTGGCATGTCTAAGACCATGGCATTCACTGTCACAGTGGTATCTTCCACCAAATGGCGTGGTGAAAAGGGGTTTTGGTCCTCTTTGGGAACGAGATCCTCTTGATCTCAACATGTTCGCCGGCTCACGCGCTGCTGCGCCGCCATCTGCCGCGCCAGCTGCAGCGCTAGGAATACCAGCTGCTCCATAACTTCTTGGAGCGCCATCAGCACTGCCAGCAGCTGTGGATGCAGCGCCCGCAGCACGGCCAGCAGCCGTATTTCCATCGCCAGCAGCGTCAGCAGCACGGCCAGCAGCCGTAGATGAAGCGCCTGCAGCGCCAGCAGCACGGCCAGCAGCCGTAGATGAAGCGCCTGCAGCGCCAGCAGCACGGCCAGCAGCCGTAGATGAAGCGCCTGCAGCGCCAGCAGCCGCAGATCCAGCGCCCGCAGCGCCAGCAGCACGGCCAGCAGCCGTAGGTGAAGCGCCCGCAGCGCCAGCAGCCGTAGAAGGCAACCAATTTGGCCTGACAGTTGGATCACGTTGCTGCTGATTTCTTTCATCCTCATCTCTTTCTGGCGCATGCCACAAAAACGCAGGCACGTTCAGCAATGAACCTTTGTATTTGACAACAGTGAGCTTGTCAACTCTGTGCCACATGAAAATGCCCATGACGCATGCTCCAATGATGAAACCGGCAAAAAGGATCACAGCCACAAACATGATGAAATAAAACTGACCGTCTCTCTGCTGCAAAACTGGATTGAGGTCTTGAATGACCAAAGCATTTGAAATATCTTTTTTCTCCTCATTCGATGCTCCTGCAAGCGCCAATTTTGTCACCAAAATGATGATCTTCAACGCTTTCTCACGTGCTTCTTGTGTCATCCCAAAAGTGGTTTCATTCTGTTCTCCGTCTTCTATCTTTTCCAAAACTTTCCAACCTTCCAAAAACATGCCCATGGTTTCTTTGTGCTGGTTGAACTTCTGCACCGATAAAACTTTGGTGCCCAGGTCAGCTGGCATCTCAGCTCCAGGCAAATGCCGGAGCATCCATTCCCCAGACAAAACTCTTGAGCGCAAAATGAAGGCCCTTTTCCGCAAATGGCGTGTCCGCCAAGATCCAGTATCTCCGGCAATGATGGCTAATGCTGCTGAGCTGTCTGTGTAGGAAAATGACCTAGCACAAACATCCAATGCCTCCTCCAAAACGACCTTGACAGCATCTCCCGCCAATGCTCCTTCAAGCACCTCCACAAGTTCGGCCTCGGCCGTCGATGCAGCTTGAATGGGCTGCTTGCCAGCCTTCCAGAGCAACAGCGACGATCCCCAAAGGATCAAATGGCATCCAAATGAGATATCGCTATATGATGCATCCGTGTACACATTGAGCTGCTTCTCGCCCATGTTGTTCTGAAAAATCAAACCTTGGTCCATGGTGGCTGCCAAATAGTACCACACTGGTTTCACCAACTGCACAACCTGCATAGGTGACTTTGTGATCAATGACGCCAGCTTGGAGACAGTGAAAGCCAAATCAGGCCTGGACCTGGCAGTGATCCAAACCAATTCACCAATGACTCGCTGGGCTTCTTTGACTGCCATTGGAGTCTTCTCCTCACCTTCAATGACCTCGGGCTCCTTCACCAAAGGAATCTTTCTAGTCGGCCACGTAGTGGGATCTGCTCCAAGATTTCTTTTCAGCAAGTCCTTGATGTAGTTTGTCTGCGTCATCAACCAGGCTCCATCTTCTCTTCTCCATAGCTCCGCGCCCAAAAATCTCACCTCCTTCTGCATGTTGATGGTCTCTGGCTCCGATGTCTCCCATTTCGCCTGCACCCCTTGAATGACTGCAGCGATGGATGAGGGAAAACCAAGGACCAGAAGATCATCCACATAGACCAAAAGTAGTCCCACAAACTCTTCCTCATTCGTCTGCAAGTTGGGACCTGGTTGCTTCAGCATCATTCTCCACATGTTTGGCTCCGTGATCATTTGCTGCAAGGTCAAAATGCCACCCTCGCATGGTAACTCCATCTTTGCAATCTCCTGATCACGGTAGTCTGACCACAATTTGGGTGACTCCTTGTAGCCGTAGAGGGCCATGATGACCTCGTAGAATTCGTCTGGCTTGGCCAATCCAGCCAAAATGAGAAGAGCAGGAGGGCGGATGATGGCTCTTCTAGGCTCCATCTTCTCCCCATTCTCATCCTTTGACCCGGACAAAACCATTGGAGCATTTAAAAATGCTGTCCTCACATCCATGACGCTCCCTTCAAAACCAAATTGTGATGCCACCGTCAATGCAGCTCGAAGTGCCACTGCTGATGCTCCGCCTGCAAAGAGATCTTGCCCTTCTTCTCTTTCTGAGAAGTTCCCACAAGCCACCAATCGTGTCTTTTTCTTGCCACCCTTGTTGGTCTGATCTGGCTTGACTGTGAAGACCAGCTTGCTAGGGATAAGTTCTGCTCGATCTTCGTCAAGCAGCTTCTTCACCTCAGCTTCTGTGATCTTTCTCAGCGCCCCTTTCGTCTCAAACAAGGAGGTCAGCTCTTTCTCGATGGATGGCCTCCAAGCCTCAATGGAACGGCGAACTTCAGCTTGTGACACAATGCGTGTCTGCAAAACTTCTTCTCCTTTCTCAGGTCCAATCAACTCTTTGACCATGGTGATGGAATCCAGCACCATGCCAGCAACTTTCTCATCATCTTCCATGGCCTCAACCATCTCCTCCTCTATCAAACGTTGGACCCTTTGTTTCTTGGCCCATGCATCCTTTTCTTCCTCCTCAAAACTTGGTGATCTGCCATCTCCTTCTTGGTTCTCAAGTTCATCTGCTTCCACGGCGTCCTCAACCTCCAGCATGTATATGGACGCTTTGTGTCTGATTCTTCTCCTCTCTTCGATTGGGTTCAAGGCATCTTCAACTCCAATCCAATCCTCCAACTTTGGTGGTTCACTCAAGCCCTGCATGACCATCTTCGTCAGCGCCTGAGTTCCATCTGCCCTTTCAATCCAATGCCCATGATGAACCCAAGAAGGACATAGGTAAGTGACCTTCTCCTGTGTTGGTTCCAGTTCTCGTGATCTCCAAAACCTCTTTCTGACCAAAACTTGCGCCAAAAAAGGCGGTGTCTTTTTCTCCTTGTCAACCTGCTTCTGTCGCAACTTCTCATTGATGAAGCGAGCTGCAATTGGCCAGCGATCAAAAGGTGCTTCAGCTCCATGAAGTGTCCGCCTGATGGCTGCCTTGATGTGCTGGACAATCGCTTCACAACGTCCATTCATTTGGGGCTGATCCCCAGGCGTAAACGTCTGAAGGATGGTGCGTGACAGGCACCATTTTTCCAAAATCCTCGATCTGAACTCAGCTCCTCTGTCGCTATGCAGCTGTGTCACTCGATACCCGTCTGCTCTCAGACGCATGTACATGTTGATGATCGCCCTGGACACATCCTCTTGGCTCCTTGATGCCAAAGGCTCGCAAAGCTTGGTGACCTCAATCCTCACCGGCTTTCTTTCTTCAAGCTCCTCTGATGTGTCCTCCTTTGGGCCTTCTTCTGGGTTTTCAACCTGATCTGCAATCTGCTGTAGCTCCTCCTCTGCTTCTGGATCCTCAATCTCCGGCGCATCTGGGGGAACTTCAGGTATCTCCTCAACCTCCTCCTCTCCATCTTGGTTCCTGGCTGTCCAAGTGAAGCTGGCTACCAGGAGATACTTCGCCTTCTTCTTCTGCAAATCAGGTGCTTCTTTGAAAGGTCCTGAGATGTCCACACTAAGGACACCCGCCTTTGGTGGCAATTTCTGCCGCCGATGATGAGCATCACGCGCACAGGCCTCTTGGCACACTCTGCAATCTCTTCTAAAAGGAGTATGGCCTGCTGCAATGTGCTCCTGCCATGAAACTGCCCGTAACTTGACCTCTTCGCCCATGGTGCAGGTTTGGAGAGCAACAGCAATGGACCTCATCATCAAGGGTGGCCACCGTGACAATCTCCTGGACGATTCGCAGATCTCTGCCTTGGTCATTCCAGAGACATCACGTGGTTGCCCTTTCTTTCCTTGAAGTGGTACTTGAAGTGGCAGATTTCCTCCTATAGTCGTTGGCTTTGTAGCTATGGCCCCAAACTCTGACTGGTCAAAACGCTGGGTCTGCAGCTCATAGATCTCGGCCAAGCTCTTCCATTGAGGTGTTCTCCAAAGCGACACCACTTCAGGCTTGTGTTCAGGTGAGGCAGGCTGCTCCAGGATCAAAGTGGTGGGTGTCTCTAGCCCAGCTGCTCTGCGCACCGTCTCTGACACAATGTAGAGAACCAAAAACCGCATGAGCAACGTGTCATCCAAGGTGACCTGCTCTTTCTCAAAGTTCGAAAGCCCTTCTATGCCAAACTCCCCTCCATTCCAACTTCTCAGAGGCCTCGGCATGGCTTCCCCCGGAACTTCAAGATGTCTGAGAACCGATCTGGTCCTGCATGGTGGCCCGGCTATCCAACCCTTCACCAATCCATCCAAAGCTGCCCTCAACAAGAGCGGGTAGGCCTCACCTTCAGGTGAAAGATCTGCTTCAGGCTTTCCATGGGTGATGTCAAACTCATACATCAATCGACGATCACCTCCAATCTCATGAAAAGCCCTTCCCAATGTGTAGCCTTCATTCTTTCCCGAAAAGGCGTGAATCATCATACCCTTCGCCCTCCAAAGTTTCCTTCTTCTTCTGTTTCCCAACGGTAGGATGTCCGTTGCAGGCTTCTCCACCAAGCTTCTCTTTACCTCCTCAGGGATTCCTTGAAGAGCTGGGTGTTCATCAACCAACCTTCTCAACCATGCCTCTTCTGAGTCCTCCCCCGTTTTCAAACTTTTCACAACCTTCACGGCCTTGGCCTCAATCTCCTCGATGAGCTTCATGGCCGTGGACTGTGATACCATTGGACATCCAGCTTCAACCACCACCTCCAACTTGCCAAGCACTGGGTGCACCACCTGAAGACCTTCTGGCTTCCATGAGATTTCACATCCAAGGACTGCAGTCAGCAATCCCATGGGCACTATGGGCTCCGTGCCTTCTTCGCCCACAATGACTCCCGTTGGAGTGAGTGCCATATAGATCTCCTTGTCACCTGCCAGCGTCACCTTGACCTTTGGTAGATGGTGAAGACGTTCTCCCTTTCTTTTGGCTCGCAAAGGGTGTGTTGCCCCTGAGTCCAGTAAGCCCTTGTTCACCATTGGGCACAACTTGGAGATGCGAAAGGGTCGCATAGAAGCCTTCTTGAGCTCATCCAGCTGCTTCTGTAGGCCCAAGATCCTTTCTTGTGCGTCCTCCCCTTTCTGTCTCTTTTCTTTGACATCTCCTTCATTCATTGATTTGAGCATCCGACTTGCTTCATCCAGCAACGACTTCATAGTTTCTTCTCCTCCATTACCCGTGGCCTCAGACTGCTCCTCGGACTTTTCAGGAGATGTTGTAGCGGACTTCACATCCTTCTCTGGGGTCTTGGAACCAAACTTTGCTGCCTTCGGCTTGGACTCCTCTGTGGTCGGACAGGCTGTGGCCATATGGTCCTTTCCTCCACATGTCCAACACCTTCTTTCTCCATCCAACTGGTGTCCAAAAGGACATCCTCTACCTCTTCGGCAACCTGAGTCTGTGAGGTAAAACCTACATGGTTTCCTCCTCCCTTCAAACTCCTCTTGAGGCTTCCCCTTCGGCCTGGTCCTTTCTTCAGGCTTGCTTCCCGAGGCTTCCTCAAACTTCTTCACCTTTGGCTGGCTCTCTGCCATCACTTCCTTCCTTTTTGCCTGCTGTCCCATCTGCTCCAGCTCTGCAAGAAGGTGTTCGCTGTACTGGGTCACTGTCTCCAACGTTGGAACTGTCTCCACCAACAATGAGCTCTTGACCAACGACAAGCGGAAGTTGAGATCTGGGTAACTGGAAACAATTTTCCTCACCAAACGTCCCAATCCCTTCATCAAAATTGAACTGTCTGGAATTGAAACTCCAACTTCAAGGGCCCGGCGCTTCCATCTCATCCAACGTCTCAGCTGTTGGATGGCTGAACCCACGGTTGCAGCTTCCATAGGTGCTTCCAGCGCCGTCAAAATAGCGCTTCTCTCTGTCAGCCCTCCAGGTTGAAACTGCAGCATCGCACGAGACAAAATGCCCAAAGCTGTGATGGACTTCGCCGCAATCACCTCCTCTTTCATCGTCTGCGGCAACGCATTCAAGAGCAAGGACGAAGCCCTTCTTTCCAGCCGGGACCACTTCTTCTGCTGCAACTCTGGTGTAGGCCTTGGTGTGCTCGTCAACCTCTCAATTGGCGATAGCTTCATGTGGTGATCATACCAAGTCCTCGCTGTTGAGAGGGTCAAGTCCCACCACATCTCACTCGTTGAGCTCAAGTCTGCCATATGAGGATGCAGACAAATCACCCAATCACCAAAATCGATGGGCGCCGTCTCCGGATTCCATTCAGCAAGTTTTGGGAGATCCGCCACATAGCGCACCACTTCAATCTCATCACCTTTTCCTTCCTCCTTGGAGATCACAATCTGTTTCTGAAGCTCCTGCATGCCCTCCATCAACTTGAGCATGATCCTCATGGACTGCTTGTCAACGCTCTCCTTTGGCCTGCTTGCTCTTTGCGGCTCCTCAGAAGACGAATCGCTCTCTGACTGTTCTTGCCGGGCTTCTGCCCCATCCTCCTGAGAAGATCTGTCTTGCCGGGCCTCTGCCCCTTCCTCCTTAGAAGGTGTTCCTTGCCGGGCACCTGCCCCTTCCTCCTTGGAAGGTCTTTCTTGCCGGGACTCTGCCCCTTCCTCCTTTTTCAACATGTTGGCTGCTTTGTCATCTGGTGTGGTAAACCTCGACGATCCCTTCTTTTCCAAGGCTTCCAACAACTCTTGACGCTCTTGACGAAGTCTTTGGTTTTCATGCTGTGCCGCACGCAACTGAACCCCTAGATGTTCTATGCCATGCTCAACTTGCATTCTCCACATGTAATCCCTTTGCCTCGCCTCATGTTCACCTTGCTGAGATCCTACTGATTGAAGCAACCCTGTGAACCAACCTGGAACTGCTTGTCGCTCAGCTCCCCCGTGTCCATGTTCTCCAACCGCAGGACCATTCCATGAAGCCGCAGGCGATGCAAAAGGCATCTGGTGGATCTCATGAAGTTTCACCGTCTGCTCTGGTGAAAAAAGTGGCAACATACTTTGGACCTGTCCCTCTGGTGTCACAAAGGAATGGGGACCTAGTGAAACTGGCTGTCCACTGGGTGTTGCCATCTCTTGACGCTTCTCTGGTTCTATTTCTTTTGGGGTTCCTTTTTGGCCTCTGACTGAACCCTCCTTTGACTTCTGACCCTGGCTAACTGGTTCTGTGGCTGCCCTTGGTGACCTAGAGCCCTTTGCAGCGTCTGACCCTCGCCCTTTCTCCAACCCATCCGGTGTCCTCAAGGCCAAGGCTTGAGAAGCTGGTACAAGTTCTTGTCCAACCAGTTCCAGGCCTCCCTCAGCTGCATCTCCTCTCGCCCCAAGCGCCTGTGCTGCATCGCCTTCAGCGCCCGCAGCCGCCATCTGCCGATCACCAGCTGCCGCCGCTTGCACCGCGCCAGCCGCTGCCATCTGCTCAGCGCCAGATCCATCGACAGCGCCGCCATCCGGTCTACGTCTACGCATCATGTCAGAAGTCTTTGGGGGTTTACACAAGCTCCTTGGGCTCATAACCTGTGTTTCCTGAAGCCTCCCAATGCCAACAAGTGAACCGTCCTGGAACCCTGAACAGCAACTGAGATCTCGACTCCAACCGGAAAAAGAATGTTTCAACCCAAAAAACAAAACCAAGTTTCCCCAAAACTCCAAGCAGCCACCTCGCTGCCAGCTGACGCACCTTTGTGCCACTTGACATCTAAAGGGCTTCGGTCCGGCCCAGATGCAGGTTCTTCAAGATTCCTAGACTACACCCGTAGGGTAGTAGTCTGGACTACACCCGGTGGGTAGAAGTCAAAGCAAAAGTGGAAGTATTTCCATGCGGGTAGCGGTAATCGGTGGGAGGGGGGTGGGGACCCTGGTTTAATTTCTTTAATTAAACGGGGTCCCCTGCAGTATGGTTTTTCCAAAATCTTTCAGTCAAACATAACCTCCGTTTATTTTTAACATAAGAAATTAATCCAGAAAACTTCCGGTTAAGGTCCCACCCAGCATCCCCCAGCTAAAAATTAAACAAGCTACTCGGCAGTACCTGGTTTAATTTTACAGGATCATTGGGTTGATTTTGTTTTGCTAAGACCAAATATTAAACCACCTGGTTCTACACATGTCAGTGAGACTTGGTGTAAAACCAGTTGCGCTCACCATTTTTCCCCCCAGGTGCGTGGACCAACTCAACTTTCTCAAAATTAAACCCCATGGTTTAATTTCAGCTGTTTTAGCTCATTGTGCTGCCTCGTGTTCCGCCTCGGGATACTGCAGCCATGGTTCCTGACACGTGTCCTAAGCTCCATGAAGACGATCCGGCGTGGACAGCAAGGTTCTTGCACAGTTGGGAACAGCATTGCTGCAGCCCAAATGCTCCATCTCAAGCAGAGCAAGTCCATGGGAAAGGCGCTGCGGGGCCATGGTAAACTGTTTCTATCTGTTTCGGGCCCCTTGCGTGATCCCAGATCAGGTCAGAATAATTAATCAAGGGGTGGGTGAGTCCATACGTACTGAACATTCATTCATCAGGACACCTTTGGCACCATAATATTCATGGGATTTATGGTCACCAGAATAATTAAACAAGGGGTGGGTGAGTCCACATGTACTGGGCATTCAGGAGCAGTTCTTCCATTGGGGCACCCCCAACACCATAATATCATACAATATCCATGGCATTGATGGTCACCAGAATAATTAAACAAGGGGTGGATAAGTCCACATGTTCTTGGCATTCATAAAGATTCATGTATTGGGATACCTTTGGTGTTATCATGATTCATTGTTTTTTCTTGAATTTTCATCTTTGGTCATCACAAAGGAAGGAACCTGATGGAATCTCATTGGATATGCTACTTTCGAATTATTTTGACACCTATATCTCACCAATCTCTCTCCACCATGATCAACTTGCACTCCAATGAGATTCCATCAGGTTCTTTCCTTTGTGGTGACCAAAGATGAAAATTCAAGAAAAACAATGAATCATGATAACACCAAAGGTATCCCAATACATGAATCTTTATGAATGCCAAGAACATGTGGACTTATCCACCCCTTGTTTAATTATTCTGGTGACCATCAATGCCATGGATATTGTATGATATTATGGTGTTGGGGGTGCCCCAATGGAAGCACTGATCCTGAATGCCCAGTACATGTGGACTCACCCACCCCTTGTTTAATTATTCACCCCGCTTCGCGTGGGGTGGCCGCCCACACCGCAAGTTTATTTCGGTCCGTGAGAGGGGCTAAGGGTGGTTTTCCCCCGTGGGGGCTCCCCAAGCTAAGAATTTTCACTTTCCCCCCCCCGTGGGGGCTCCCCAAGCTAGGGAATTTTCACTTTTCCCCCCCGTGGGGGCTCCCCAAGCTAGGGAATTTTCCCTTTTCCCCCCCGTGGGGGCTCCCCAAGCTAGGGAATTTTCACTTTTCCCCCCCGTGGGGGCTCCCCAAGCTAGGGAATTTTCACTTTTCCCCCCCGTGGGGGCTCCCCAAGCTAGGGAATTTTCACTTTTCCCCCCCGTCTATGGAATTTTCACTTTTCCCTCCCTTGGAGGCTCTCCAAGCTGCGGAATTTCAAATAGCTAGACAACGACGCCTAGATAGTCCCCCAAATCCCGTGTTCTTTGAATGTGTTTCCATGTTTTTGCAACGGTTTCCTTCAAAGCACGGTACTTTACACTTTTGTCGCCATAAAACCGGTCGAAAACATCATGTTCGACAATGCTTCCAAGTCCCTTATCTCCCCAACCGTTGAAAATACCGCTATTTACAGTGTTTTCTTCAATTTTTCCATGTGCCAATGCCGGTAGCCAACTCCAACATATATATAAGAAATCCTTCCAAAACATTGTTTTTGACAGTGTTTTTTCCAATGTTTCCAGTCAAACAGACGGTAATTTACACGTTTTTTGCCATAAAGGCAGTAAATCCTTCCAAAACATTGCTTTTGACAGTGTTTTTGTAATGTTTCCAGTCAAGCATACGGTAATTTACACGGTTTTTTGCTATAACGTCAGTCCAAAACACTTGTTTTTGCAGTGTTTTCAATGCTCTGGCATCCAAAAACCCTGCAAAATCTTGCTATGTACAATGTTTTTTTCATTTTTGGCCGTTTTTCCATTGCCGGAAAGCTACCAAAATGACCCAAATTCCATTTCAATACCCTCTTGCGCTCAGACACCCTAAAATCCTCGAAAAATGTCGAAAACACCACCGAATTCTGGTCTCGGTGCGAAGCCGTTTTTGGCCCCCCCCCAGCTAAAGCTGATATAGCGACTGCTATTGCAGAACGGCATACCCTGTTTTTCATACTTTGGTAGATCTGTACATTTAATTCAGACATGTTGCACCAATTGACATGTCACTGAACCCTTTTACCAACTGCAGTCGACGTAGCTGCCCTTTTGAAGCTCAAACACCCGAGCTGCTGCCGGTGAAAACAGAGAAGGCGGCCGCTTGCTACGTGGACGAGGTGCGGAGGACTGAAGGTTGGGGACCTGGCCATTTCCAGGTTATGAGCCCAAGCGGTTCACTGGGCAGATGAGTGAGTTCCATAGGAGAAGGGCCACCAAAGAAGAGATGGAGCAGGGTCAAAAGGAGATAAGACTAGCTGATGAAAGAATGAAAACAGAGGCTGAGAGTAGGGGTGAGATGCCTATACAAAACGGACCTGAAGAAAAACCTGTGGATGTTGTAGAAGGGGAAACGCCTCCACCGAAAGAGGGTAAGAGAGATGAACCTCAAAGAGGTACCCCTGCAAGGAATTCCAATCAGGGTTCAGGTGCCAAAGCGTTGTTGCCGCCTACACAACCTCCTCCTGATCCTCCTGCCCTTTCTCTACGTCAAGAGGTGGTGAACTCCCTTGAGAAGAATACGCCCGCCGACAAGGGTGAAGGCAACTTCAATGGTGGACCTTTGATGAGGGAGATTGCAACTCCCCCTGAACAACAAGCAGGAGATGATGCAAACCAAGTGCAAGGGCAATCCATGGCACCTCCGTTGTTCACCGAGGAGCAGCTGAGAAACTTTGCTGCACTGCAGGGACAAGCCGCATGGATGTATGGGCCCCAACAGTCGTTTTTCAATCCAATTGGTTTTTCACGTCCTTCATTTTTGGATGGAGATGCAGCCAGAGCTTCAGTGAGTCAACATGAAAGAGACATGGAGTTTCTGAGAATGCAAGCAGTGAGAGACCGAGAGGAGAAAGACGAATGTAGAAGGCAGATTCAACTGTTGGTAGAAGAGAACCGTCAGTTGAGAGCCAGGTTTGAAAGTGCTAGCAAGATGCAGACTGAGGATGAACCTAGGTTTGCGACTCCTGAGGAACAGCCGGATCAGACCAGCCCAGGTTTCGACATGGATGTGGATTGGTTGAAGCGGCGAAAGGAGGCTGACAGACCCCCATCAAAGGAGGCTGACAGACCCCCATCAAAGGAGGCTGACAGACCTCCATCAAAGGAGGCCGACAGACCCCCATCAAAGGAGGCTGCCAGACCCCCATTCCTACCTGAGGCTGCAGAGTTCAAAACCCCCAAGGAGGCTGCCAGACCCCCAAAGGTGGAAGCATCACAGCGTCCCCAAGAAGAAGGAAGCCGAGGTGCACCTGGTGGAGGGAATGCGCAGTTCACTGAGAAATCTTTGGAGTTCATGGTGATTATGATGGAAACTATGAAGGACCTACACAAGAAGGTCAACGAGACAAAGGATGAGACTGGCATGGTTCGAGGAGTTGAGATTGTGAGGTCCGGCACTCCTGACCTGCCGGTGTTGACCCCCTGGTCACCAAGCCAGGGTCCCCTCCAGTTGGGAGATTGGCTTCTGACTGTGGAGCCGATCATAGCTGATTTGTCAGCAACTTCAGAAGTGTGGTGGTCGCTGATGGTGAAGTCTGCAGAGCAGTGGTACCAGAAGCACATGATGATGCCCCCACTAGATCGAGTTCAACATGAAGTTCAACCGCCCCCAGAGGTCACCTTGGAAAAATGGTCCAGGTTGGAAAGAAGAACGGCATCGATGCTGCTTCAATCTGTGCCGGAGGTGGTCAAGGAGGAGTTGGTTTCAGCTCGACGGCTGAGCGTTTTTGGGATTTTGACGCAACTGCTGTTGACGTATTGCCCAGGTGGTGTCTTGGAGAAGCAGACATTGCTGAGAAGTTTGGAGGAGCCAACAGAGGTCACCACGGTGGGCGAGGCTCCTGCTGCAATACGTCGGTGGCTACGTTGGAAGCTGCGGTCCCAGGAGATCGGCGCAGTGACCCCAGACCCGGCACTGTTGTTGAAAGGTCTGAACAAGTTAACACGCCGAGTCCTGGAGTCCAACAAAGAACTACAATTCAGGGTCAGCCTGGCCCGAAATTCCCTTGGTGTGGATACGAGGCCGACCGACACCACAGTCAGCCAGTTTGCCACGCACCTTTTGGCTGAGATCGAACAAGTTGCTCTTTCCGAAAAGAGGGCCACTGCTGCGATGCCAAAGAGCGAGGTGAAGATCAAATACTTGGATGCAGACAAGAACAAGCCAAAGACCAAAGAGAGGCCTACAGAGGAGGACAAGCCGAAGCCAAAATGCAGGTTTTTTCTCACAGATGCTGGTTGCAAAAGGGGAAAGGAGTGCACGTTTAGCCATGATGTCAAAGATGATCGTCGCAGGTGTTACAACTGCGGCAGTGTGGATCACCTTTCACCAAGTTGCACCAGGTCAAAAGGCGCTTCTACTGAAACAAGCCCCAACAAGCCAAGGGTTGCCAAGGCCGAGGGGGAGGAGCGCAATGTGACTTCACCAATGAAGGAGTCAGAGACTGGAAGCCAATCTAGTCAAGGGGAGGCAGTGAAGGACTTGCTGGAGGAGGCCAACCGGATGTTGAAGTCTCTGTCGAGCTCTTCCAACACTACTGCTTCTACAACCTCTTCGACGTCTGAAGAAGAGCGAAAAGATGTGATGGAGCGCCTTCATCAGCAGTTGAAGTCGATGAAGACGTTCAAGATGAAGAGACTCAATGTTGGGAATGATGTTGGACTTGTGGATTCAGGTGCAACACATCCACTTCGTCCTAGACATGAAGGCGAGAATGTTGATTTGTACCCAGTGGTGGAGGTGGCATTGGCAGATGGAAGGACGGTGAGGTTGAAAATGTCCCCTGGAGGTGCTATGATATCACCTTCACCTGCCATCGAGCCTATCATCCCTATGGGCTTGTTGTCGCAGAAGCTGAACTGTGACATTTCCTGGAAGCAAGGATCTATGCAGATCCACCATCCTCTGAGAGGAGAAATCAAGGTGATGATGAAGGGAAGTTGCCCCCATGTCGCCAGATCTGAGGCTTTGGCGTTGATTGCGGAGCTGGAGGACATCAAGATGGGCATTCCCAATGAGATTGGAAGTTTTGATGCGGAAGTGGCATGGCTGAGAAAGCTGGTGTCGCAGCATCCAGTGCTGTCTTCACTCCCAGAGCACATCAAGGAGCGGCTGGTGGTGGAGCCTGGAACTTGGTCTGATCTTCCAGGCAACAGACACTCAAGAAAGCGCTGGAAGAGGAGTGGCTTAGCAGTTCATTTGTATGCTGGGCCAGAAACAGGGTTCACTTTGCGGCATGCCATCAAACAGCTGGGTGGTTCTGTCGATGCCTTGTTGGAAGTTGATGTTCAACGAGGAGAACAACATGACATGCTGTCGGACCACGCAGTTTATCGTGGTCTGTTCCATACAGGAGAGATTGTCGAGTATGCCAGGAGAGCTCACAACAATGCCCGCCCCATCGACTGGTCAAGGACCCAATTGCTGGAGTGCTTTCAATCGACACAGCTGGTCCACTGAAGCCTGCTTATGATTTGGGTGGGCACATGGCAAGGTATTTTTTGGTTGGAGTTTTGACCTGGAGGGTGCCAAAGGGGAGTGACAAGATGCAGAACCCCTCTGAAGAAGCAGCTTCCGAAGGAGCTCCTGAGATTGAAGAAGGAGCTGAGGATCCAAATCCACCGGGCGAGGACGGATTGGAAGCTGAGGAGTTGCTTCCAGCCCAGCTCCCTGGTGAAGCGCCGGCTGAAGGAGAGCCTGGCGACGCCCCTGGTGAGGACGGGTTGGAAGGTCAAGCTGATCTTCCAGTCCAGCTCCCAGGCGAGGCGTTTGGACCCCCAAATTTGGATGAGGTCACAGAATTGAGAAGGTTCAGAATGGCCTTGCCGATGGGTTCCAAAAAGGCGAGAGACGTGGTGAACACGGTGATGGAGTTTGTGTTGCGGCTGCGGACGGAAGGGTTCCATGTGGGCCGCATCCATTCAGACCAAGGACATGAGTTCGCTGGCGAGTTCAAGACATGGGCCCGACAGCGTGGGATCTACCTCACCAAAACACCAGGTGATGATCCAGCCGCAAACGGCAGAGCTGAAATGGCGGTGAAGGACTTCAAGAACCAGATCCGCAGAACGTTGAGGCAGGCCAGTGAAGATGCGAAATGGTGGCCATGGGCTTTGAGGTACGTCAATGAGGTGTACCGATGTGTCCGGATGGAGACAAGACCAAGTTGGCCGAGGTTTTTGGAAGAAGTGAGAGTCCGAAAGCGGACATGGAGGCGGGATGACCTGGACCCCAGAGTGGAGAAGGTTCAGTATCTATGCCCTTCAGTGGAAAACCATGGTCATTGGGTGATCAAAGAAGGCGAAGCACCACGCCTGACGCGCTACATTTTGGCGCCCACCATTGAGCCGGAGGATGAGACGGTTTGGATTGCGGTGGAAAGAGAAGGGCGAGATGCACAAGAACAACGACGCCGAATCAGAGGCAGATCAGCAGTGAGGAGAATGGATGCCTCAGTTGCAGATCCTGAGGAGGTGCTGGAAGAAAAAGAAAAGGCTGAAGTTCAAAGGTTGATGAAGGTGGTGGAAGATGAAATGCAGTCCATCATCAACGACGACCCAGATCTGGCCGCCGAGGAAGTCAGAATTTTGGGAAGGCTGAGAAAAATGGCTGAAGTGAAGGAGGATGGAGATGAGATCCTTCAAACAAAGGTCATCTCACCAAAAGAGGTGGTCAGAAACTGGTCGGAATGGATCCCATCAGTGAGGAGCGAGGTGGAGTCCCTGACCATTGAGAAGGCAGCCTTGAAGGAGCTGTCAAAGGATGAAGTCAAAGCGTTGAAGAAGAAGGCAGAAAAGGAGGGTAAGAAGTTGGAGATCATACCTTCCAAACTGGTGTTCACTGTGAAACCTTCCCCAGACCACAAAGAAGGGAAAAAGAAAACCCGGTGGGTTGTTTGCGGAAACTATGAGGAGAAGAAAGAGGGGGAGGAAAACTACTCAGGTGGTGCAGATGCCACATCTTTGAGGTTGTTGGCATGGATTGCATCCCGCATGAAGTGGGCCGGATGCATCCTGGATGTCAGAACTGCTTTCCTCAACGCGCAGATGGAACAGGAGCCGGATGAGGACCTTCTTTTGGTCCAGCCACCCCACATCTTGAAGGAGATGAAGTTTCTGGACCCGGACCCACTGTACCTGCCATTGAAGGCAGTGTACGGCTTCAGGCGCTCACCAAAGCTTTGGGGTCTTCATCGAGACAAAACGATCAAGACCTTTGACATCAAGGTGGTCATTGATGGCCGCTGCGAAAGCCTGGAGCTGAAGCCGATGGAGTCAGAGCAGAACCTATGGAAGGTGGTTGTGGTCAGGGGAGGCTTCCAAGAGGCAGAAGAAGAATGGATCTCAAACGGCCGAGTCATTGGCCTTGTGATGACGTATGTCGACGACATTTTTATCGTCGCCGAGAAGCAGGTGGCGAAGTCAGTTGCTCAGAAGTTTCAAGAGACCTGGGCGACCACACAACCGGAGTGGGTTGGCGAGACACCAGTGAGGTTTTTGGGCCTGGAGGTGACTTGCCACCAAATCGAGGGGGAGGAGAAGGTCCAATGGTGCCTTTCACAAGAGGCATACATCAAAGACTTGCTTGGGCGCTATGAGGAGGAGGGAAAACCACGAAAGCTCCCTATCACCCGTGACCAAGCTTCGATGCCTCCAGATGTGATTCCCCCTTCGCCAGAAGGAGTCAAGTTTTCCCAGAAGGTCATCGGTGAGTTGCTTTGGCTGGTGACCCGAAGCAGACCAGATTTGATGTTTGGAGTTTCCAGGATGGGGGCCAACGTTTTGAAGGCCGCCAACTGCATCAAGGACACAGCAGCACAAATGAGGTCCTATCTCAGGAGAACTGCAGGTGAGGGCCTACAGTACAAGCAGAAGATCGATGACCCGATCACGCTGTATGTCTACTCAGACTCCAGCTTTGCACCCGAAGCAGATGAGTCCCATGGATCGTTTGTGGTTATGGTGAACGATGGGTTGATGTTTTGGAGAAGCGGCAGGCAGGGCACAATCACCTTGAGCACGGCCGAGTCAGAGTTGATGGAGCTCGTTGAGGCGATGATTGCCGGCGAGTCAGTTTACGTCGTGCTGGCAGAGCTGTTTGGTGAAATCTCAAAGGTGGCATTGTGCGATTCGCAAGCTGCACTGGCCATTTTGGTTGCTGAGGGCGGAAGCTGGAGGACAAGACACCTCAGGCTGAGGTGGGCGTTTGCTCGCCAATCTGTGCTGCGTGGTGACTGGCAGGTGGGTCATGTCCCTGGTGAGAAGATGTTGGCGGACCTGGGCACAAAAGTTCTGACCTCATCGAGGATGGAAACTTTGAAGCAGATGATGGGCATGGGAGTTGCTCAGCCCGAAGAAAAAGGTGTTGAAATGGAGAAGGATGAGAAAAAAGAAAAGGAGATCAAGACCGACTCAAAATCGGTCGCCACCATGGCCGTCAAGCTCATCACGATGGCGGCCTTGTTGTCAGTGTCAAAGGCTCAAGGAGATGAAGAAGACGATGAACCAGCAGGTGACTTCCACAACTTTATGGTCATCTACACGGTGCTGATCATTCTGACCACGCTGATGGTCCAAATCCTGTGGAAGGTAGGAGTAGGCGCATTGGGCGAAAACTGGAAAAGAAGGTTTTTTACCCGTGGCCGAAGTCTCCCCATGGGTGAGGAAACGTCAGTGGCAGAGGGTCGAGCATGTGCTGAGGTGTGCGGACCCGTGGAAAGACCACGGCATCTGCCCTCGGCTGCTGGGTCGTCAAACCAGCCAAGCCCCGCTGAGGACGGGTTGGGGATGGAGGAGGGATCCCCAGTCCAGCTCGCGGTGGCTGAGCAGCGACGCGCCGGTGAGGGCGGGTTGGGGCAGAGGGCCTCAGTCCAGCTCCCAGCTTCGGCGGGTGAGGGCGGGTTGGAGGGTCATGCTGATCCTCCAGTCCAGCTCCCGGCTGCGCCTGCAAAAGCTCCCCCGCCAAAGGAGGGACCAAAGGCCCCGTCAAAAGCGGGCCAAACACCAAAGGCCCCACCAAAAGCGGGCCCAAAACCAAAGGCCGCACCACAAAGTGGCCCATCAGCTTCCAGCTCCTCAAGTGGAAGCACATCAAGCAGTATGACAGGCCGAATTGAGACGGCGATTCAAGACATTGCGTATGAAGAGGCAGCCCTGTGGGACCATTTTGGGAGGCAGGGCGACTTTCCAGGAGTGCCAGAAGATCATAGCAGAGCAGAACTTGGATTTCAGGTGTTGAGGACGCCATGTGGAACAGTGTATCACGATACACGTGGATGCACCCAGCTTCAAGGACCACGAACTGGCTATGCGAGACCGTTCACATGGTGTGCCTTGTGCCGAGAGGTTGCGATGCGCACCCGTGGAAGACCAATCCCTGAAGTCCGCTGCTTTTACGAATGGGCGATCAGACCGTCCATACTGATCGAAGATGCCCGAGAGCACGAGATGCTACGGAGCTGAGAGGATGCATGTACTGTACAGAGTACAATGGGTAGGGCAGGTTGAGCTGTAAAGAAAGAAATGGATGCACTCTAACGACGCATCCAAGGGGGAGTGCAGAACGGCATACCCTGTTTTTCATACTTTGGTAGATCTGTACATTTAATTCAGACATGTTGCACCAATTGACATGTCACTGAACCCTTTTACCAACTGCAGTCGACGTAGCTGCCCTTTTGAAGCTCAAACACCCGAGCTGCTGCCGGTGAAAACAGAGAAGGCGGCCGCTTGCTATGTGGACGAGGTGCGGAGGACTGAAGGTTGGGGACCTGGCCATTTCCAGCTATATTAACAAATGTGATTGAGCATTTAGTGTAGCTGTTTTGCCCCCCAATAAGCACGCCTTCACCGCCAAAGCGGTGTGGGCGGATTTCATGGACAATCCTATAAGCATGGATGAACTAGGGGTAGCCCATGACTTTGGAAACCTTTACTTGACCATGGATCATACCTCTCCAGGATCTATGATGATCTATGTATAATCCTATGATATTTCTTTTCTGACACATTCTGACACCTAAGATCAGCAAAAAAAAACCCAGATCACAGGATTCCAACGTATATTGGCCAAGTTAGCTATCACTTTCCTATTGTTGGCTGGTGATTTACTCACTTTTTCCATCCGTTCAATGTCAGATCCACCAGAAATCACATATCAATAATATGTTGGCTGACCAACTTTTGTTGTTTAGATCTTCATGTTTGGTAAAAATCCGGTCATTTAAATCGTGTGAACGTTAGCCATGCGCAAAAAAAACCCGATTCTCCATGCTTGAATACTTATGAGGGTTCAACTGCATTTCCGAATGTGATTTTCCCCTCAATGTTCCAGAAAATGTTCCAATCACCTCAGTCACCTCCTATCATAATTTCCCAGCATTTTTTCCATTAACCATAGATTAACCATAGATTAACCATAGATTAACCATAGATTCCCCATCATTTTCTTCTCATTTTCAG